TTTCCTCCCCCTGAGGATTTCTCCCCCCCCCCCCCCCCCCCCCCCTGCGCCCCCCCCCCCCCCCCCCCCCCGATCCTGAACCCAGATCCTCACCACAGGGAGACAGGGGAAGTGCCCCACGTAGCTTCGGAGAGTAGGCGCTGCCTCCACCTGCCACTGAGAGGGGGCTTCCAGCAGGTGAGAAGAAGCTAGCAGTAGTGAAATCAGGAGGACTCGATGCCACGTAGTGGGAGGGCCCCACAGCTGCTGGGACGCCCAGGGTGAGCAGGTCTGGGCTCAGCCGCTCTGTCTTCAAGGTCTCCAGGAAACTCCTTGGACTCCCTTTCACATCAGGGCCCTCAGGAGCTGGCTGTGGGGAAGCCTCTCGAACAGCGGGGGCCAGGGCTGAGGCTGGGTACAAGCCTGCCTTACCATAGGCCCAACTTGCAGCCGCATATGGGGCTCCCCCAAGCCCTCCCTCCATCCGGTTGGGGGGGGGGGACGGGGCGCCCGGGGGGAGGGGGGGGGGGGGGGGGTGGTCAGGCCCCAGACCCCCAATATGGCCTACTACTAGTCAGGGTTACTGACAGGTCAGGTCATCCACTAGCAGATGGGAGAGGGAGGGGGTCCATTCCCCATTTGCTCTGTCTCTGTGGGCCCACCAATAGCCTCTGCTGGTCTAGGATCTCTCAGTTGGACGCCTAACATGACTTCCTCAATTCTGACTCCCAGCATGACTACCAGTTAGGGTAGGGACACAAACCCAGCACTTCTCACACTGCCTGGCACATAGGGAAAGGAATTAAGTGCCTATAAAGATGATCTCATTTGATCCTCGAGAAACACTTGTTGACTGACTAAGTGATCCTACAGCCTTGGCCAGCACCCTGAACCTCACATTATCTAATCACAGTTCTCTCTGGCAGCTCCTCCAAACATCCTCTCTGCTCCAGCATCTTCCCTCAGTCCCAGACTCAGCCCTCACCCCAACAGAGACTTTACTGAGCTCTCTAACCCCCCCCCCCCCCACCATGCCCTCTGCTCCAGTCTCAGAAGAGAAGCTGCCTTTTCCTTCTGCCAAGGCCAAACCTTCTATCTGCCTCAGCGGCCTCCTGGCAGGTAGGCAGGTGACAGACCTCAAGCTACAGAACACATGTGGCCACATATCTTCGGGCACGGCCAATGTCAGAATTGTTCCAAGCATTTGATTTTGCTTTTTCTTTTCCCGTGGGGGTGGGGGGTTGAGTGGGAAAGAAAATAAAGACTTGTTAACTGGAAAAAAAAAAACAAAACAAAACAAAACCAAAACCAAAACAAAATTAAGAATCTCCACAAACAGGTTCCTGTGCCTTGTGCTTCCAGCTCCTCACCCCGCCAGCTGGCCACCAACCTAGCCGCTACCTCTCACTCTAATTCCTTGGGCTCAGGGGATCCAGGAGGGCAACCCAATTCCCTAAGGGTGCTAAGACGTTTTCCTTTCTAAGAAGGTAAATAGCCATAACTATAACCCACATCAAAGCTCCATGACTTTTAAGAGCAGAAGGAAATCCACAAGTTTGCAACTGGCTGCTCACTGTTCCTAGCAGTCTCCCCTACCCGTACAAGCCAATGGACTTTTCTCAGCCCTAAGCCCTCCAGATCTCTTTGCAGCTTTGGGACATTGTCTCCCGCCCCTTTCTCATCAACGTTCTCTCCTCTCCTCTGGCTCTCTCCTGGTTCTCCTCCTCCCAATCTGACTGCCCCTACTCTTGTCTCCTCCACTGGCTCATTCTCCATCCCCCGCCCCACAGAAGCCTTGCTGGTCTACCCACTTCTCTCTTGGCTTTCCCCCAAGTGATCTCATTTGCTCCCTGGGTACAGTTCTCTTCGAGGCAGATGCCTCCCAGAGGCAGCCGCCTCAGCCAGAATCTTTCTCCTGCCAGCTCTGTGCACCTGCACATGCCATCAGCATCCACACGGCCAAACGGACCTCATGCTCTTCTCCCCTCCCAGCTTCCTTATTCCCTTCAAAGGCATGGTCGTTTCTTTGCAGCTACGGTCTCATCCTCAACACCGACTTCTCTCCCTCACTCCTCATAGCCAAGCAGTTGCTGATTTGTCCCTTGGGAATCGATCCACCCCCTCCTTTCTACTCTCGGCCAGTTACCCCTTCTATTTAGGCCCTCACAGCACTTCTCTTCTCAGACCATTACCACCCCAGCCTTCTACTGGGTATCCCAGCCTCAAGCCTCTCCTCTCTCCAGTCCTTCTTCTTAGCTGCCCAATAAACTTTCTGCTCTGCCCAGGTCACCCCTTGCTCCGTAGGCTAATACATAAACTCCTAAGGCTGGCATTACAAACCCTCCATGTCCCTAGCTGACTTACCATCCAAGCCAAATAAACTGCTAACTGCTCCCCAAACTCAGCATTCTGTCTCCACTGGACCTGCCTTAGTCCATTACCTGAAGTCTTGCTTAACCCCATTCTAACCTGGGGAGAGGGGGAAGAGGAAGGGTGGTCGAGACCACGTATGGAAGACTGAGGTCAAGCGGTGACAGGGAAAGGAAGAAGGATAGACAAAATAGTACCCCCAAAGGCCTCCCCCCCGCCAGGTTACCTGGTGAGTGTCTGTAAGCATCAGCAGCTGTTCCCCGATGGTAGTAGGACAGTGTGGCAGCAGCACTGGCGCTATCGGCCCCCTCAGGCCCTGGGAAGAAGAGTCCCGGCTCTTCAGGAGCACTGACAGAGGCCGATGAGGGCAGCAAGGTAGGCTCAGCAAAAGGGGCCAGGGCCTCTGGCTCCCCCAGGCCAGGTGGGAAATCCATGGGGGCTCCCAGATGGTGGCAGCGGAAACAGTGACAGTGGTGCCTCCCTGAGGGGGGGCAGGACTGTCAGCCCCAAGAGACTTTCCTAAGCTTGGTCCTTAGACAGGCCCATGGCCCAGCAGAGGGGCCATGGTCTGGGCCCCCTAACCCAACTCAGTGGGCACTCCTGGGCTCAGAGCCTTAGACTTCACACACGGAATGGGCTTGGCTGTGTGTGTGTGTGTGTGTGTGTGTGTGTGTGTGTGTGTGTGTGCGCGCGCACGTGCATGTGTGTATATATATGTATTATATATACACACATACATACATACACACACACACATACATATATGCTTGGGTAATTGGAGGCTAAAGATTGAGGGATTATTTTGGCTCCAGGAAGGCAAAGAATAAGGAAAGGGGTAGATGGGGCCCATCATTCCCTCAGGCTCCTTCTTCCCCAGCCCTCCCTACTCCTAATCAGTCTGTGTCATGTGCCCCCCCATTTTTCTTTTTTTCTTTTCTTTTCTAGTCTTTGGCCCTCCCCTCACCCTTCTTTGCCTGTTTCTCATTCCCTCCAGGCCCAGAGTGGGAGCTCCTACGGTCCCCTCCAGCCTGCCCTCCCCCAATTATCACCCCAATGCAGAGATAACCCTTATCTCAGGGCTAGGGGGTATGAAAACCTCTTATCAGTCACCTGGGGCTAGTGTGTTCCCAGCAGGCCTGGGAACTCTAGGCAGCCAGCTCTAAGCCCAGCTTGGCCCAGCCCAGCCAGGTCTGGCCAAGGCCAGCCAGGTATGGTCCACCCTTAAAGAATGGCTTTTATTTTTATTTTAGAGGAATTGGGGGCATCAGATATGGGGTTGGTTTTGAAGAGGAAATCAGAGCCAAAGACCCTCAGTCAGGACGGGATCAGAGATGGGGCTCAGGACTCTTGGAGATGGGATTGGGAGCCTTTAGGGGTTGACAGATCGGGCCCCTCAAAGATGTAATTTGAGGGGGGCTGAGGTATGGGGCTGGAAGGGCAGAGAGAATAAGGGAGAGAACAGAAGCAGGGTTGGGGGAGACCCAGATTGGGGTTCAAGCTCACGAGGGTAACTCAGAGGTACAGTGTTAGGGGTTTGGGAGAATTAGGAACAGGGCTCAAGCCCTCCTGAAATGGGGGTTCAGAGAGCTTGGGGGCACTGACCTGAGCAGGTGTTGAGGCCGAGGGAGGGGGGGCAGTCTCTCTTGGATCTCCTCAGGGTCCAGGCAGCGACCAAGACAACACTGTCTCCCTCCCTCACACCCCCCTCCTGCTGTGGCTACGGGCGGGGCCAGAGGGGGGGGGAGATGGGGCCCAGCCTTGGGACCGCCCCCTGCTGGCACCAGTGCCCGAGCATGGCTTACATGACTGGGGGCACCTTCCTCACCCGCCCATCACAGACCTCCCCCACTGGCCAACGGCCATGGCACCAGCCAACCGAGCCCCTGGTTGTCCATGTGTTTCTCTCCTGGTCCCTCACCTCTGCCCCCCCCCCCCCCTTTAGCTTCCTTTCCTTCAGAGTCTCAGTCTCCATTTCTCTAGAACACTGTCCCTCTAAGCCCAGGACCTGGGTCTTTTCCTTTCCCTTCTCTGGCCCCTCAGGGATGCCTGGTCTCAATTTCTCCCTAGTCCTGGATCTCATATGTAACCCTTCCACTATCTCTCCATCTCTCCCTCTGTCATCCCCACTCTCCCTTAGGTTTTTTGTTTTGTTTTGTGGGGGGGGGGGGGGTGGTGTCTCTCATTAGGTCCTGGGAAGAGGGCCTAGGATACACTGGGTTAGATACCCAAACTAAGATGTCAGGGAGGATGAGGGACACCCTCCCTTCCTCCCCCACCCCCACCCCTACTTACACCATCTCCCTGCTGGGCCAAGGCTGGGGCCTGCTGATAAGTCTTATCAGATGGAGGGCCGGACCTCGGCTGTTGGGGTTGAGGCAACTAGCAGCCCCGCAGGAGGTTGGGGGAAAGAAGAGAGCGGATACTGGGGCCTCCCTGGCCCTGTCTATCCCCTCACCCCCTGCTTTCTGCCCCTGTGTGCCAGGGAAATTCATATCTCTCCCCCTGCCCCCAAAAAAAGTAACACCCTGGTCCCTCTGCTCTGAGGGAGGAGGGCAGGACAGGTGGGAATCATCAAGCCCAACTCACAGCTGGGAAAACTGAGGCCTCCTTCCCACTTCCCAGTCACTCTGAATATTCCCATTGACCCTGCCTTTGGAGTCCAAGGTAGTGTTTATTGGTATTAGGGAAACTGAGGCACAGCCAAGGTTAGAAGTCTGTTCTCCTGAACCTCCAGAGGGAGGGAAGCCGGACGCCGCCGGACGCCTGAGTCTCCTCCCACCCTGGCCGCAGGAAGGCCAGGGGGAGCAGCTGGGAGTGCCCAGATAAGGCAATCTCTTGGGGCCAGGCAGAGCTGGGTGGAGGCCAGGGCAGCGGGAGGCTCATCCCTGCGAGAGGTAGGGCCAAATCAGCTTCCAATCTTGCAACGACTCAGCCAGGGGCTGCACTATCCTGAAGTCTTGGACACGAGGAGGGCCTGGTCGGGCCTTGGGGCCGGGCCCCCCCCCCACGATGTGGAATGGGCAGCTCTGAGGGGTGGGCTGGCAGCGGGTCTCTGAAGAAGTACTCATGTAGCAGGGCCTGTGGGGACATGGGGAGAGTAAGAAGGGGCGGCCCGGCCTGGCCCGGCCTCACCCCTAGATCCCTGGCTTCATCCCTGTTCAGTCCCCCCAATGGGCACCACTTTCCTCCACCTTGAAAGACAGCAAAAACCAGGGGTGGGGGTGGGGTGGGTGAGAAGGAGGAGAAACAGTTCCCCTTTGAGCACTGTGGCAGGTTGGGAGATTTTTATCAAGCACGGGGCTCAGTTAAAAAGAAACAAGGGGCCTATGTTCCTCAAAGGTGTCCACAGACCAGGCTTCTCCCCTCTACTGGCTTGAGTGAAGGAGACATTCAAACATTGGGACAGTAAGCAATTTTCATCAGCTCATTAAAGTAGGCCCCCTAAGGGCATTAAAGAGGATTGAGTCAGACATTAGTCAAACTTGTGCTCAAGGGCCAGACAAGGAAGCACCCTTCTATGTTTATTGAAGCAGGCCCACCAAATGCCCTGGAGCTGGCCAAACCTTACTTGAGCGCCTGGCCTCTACGGTGGCTATTGCTGAGGAGCCTGGGAGGCCTGCCCAAGGGCACCCAGGCAGTCCTAACAAAAGAGAGAATTGGAAGCCAGGGCTGCAGACACTGTATCAAATCCAATCCAATCGATTCATTTAGCTTCTGGGGATGATTTGTCAATCCCGAGCCTCTCTGCTAAAATGCTATTTCCTCTAAAGCCAGATGTATACCCTTCCTCTTCTGATCTCAAAGCACCTTTTGCCTCCTCTTTCCATCTTCGCTGGCCAGTACTCCTGGGACCTCAGTTCAAGTCCCCTTGGCCAGGGGGCCTTGCCTTGAGGCTGCCAAAGCATCTTTCTAAGAGCCTGGGGGTGGGGGTAGTTATTCCCCTGACACAGAAAGGAACAGGAGGCCTAGCTGGAGCTCCAGGGCCTCAGCCGAAGTCTTCGAGGGGCAGGGTGGGGGCCTTCGGTAACAGTTATGCTCGTTATCTACACCCCCACACTCCCCCATGAGGTCCCTTAACAAGAATAGTGACAGCCAGTCCCAGTAGAAAAGCCAAGTCAGCCAGCAGCCCCTCCCCCTGGCCCTGGCCTTGGGCGGCTCCTCACAGCATTTCTCAGCTTCAGCCCTTGCCCTGTTCACGCTGTGCCCCCTCACGGGCCTCTTTTGAAGCCCCGAGTTCAGCGCCTGTTGGCCTCTGGCCTCAGATCCCTTTGGGCTCTTTGCTTGACCTTGAAATGAGGATGCCCCCTCCCCCCAGCCTCGCCAAAACAGGGGTTGCTCTCACGCGCAGAGCGCCCCCTCACTGCTCGCACTCCCGTGTCTCTTCCTCCACGCTTTACAAAGCCCACTGTGCTTCAGACACCCCCAGGTCACTCACGTGGAGTTTCTCAGGTAGCGAGCTCTCCTTTGGGACCTCCCCACGCCCCAGAGGTTACAGAGCCTATCCCTCAGTCCCTCACAATGTGGTGGAGCCCGTCCTCTCCCAGACTCCCAGATCAGTCTTCCCCTTGATCTCTCCACTTCATCTCTACTTCCTGGACAGTCTCGCCTCCTTTCGTGTGTCTACAGTTTGGGCTCCTGGTTTTTCTTTTGCCTAACTGCTCCCGTGCTGCCCCCCTGACCGTGGGGGCTCCTCCGGGGCTCTCGGATAGGCTCCCATAGGTTGGGGCCTTGCACGCAGTAGCAGTTTAATGACCGTTTGTACACACGTGACTCCCAAATCCCTGGCCTTTCTCTCGAGGCCTGGCCCGGCAGCTAACCGTCCACTACTCAGGCATCGCCCTTCTTCCAGTCTTTCGACACAAAGGTCCAAGCCTTGGCACATGTCACTCAAGCAAGGCTAGTGGTGCCGATTGCCTTTAGGGTGCTGCAAACTCACTTCTCAGCAATGGGGCACCCATGTGACTCGCTAGACCAATCACATTCCTCCATCTAGCTCCCTCACAGCTGCTACCGCTCTCCCCTGGAGCCCCAATTTCTTTATACTTAATGACTTATAGGGGCAGCTAGGTGGTGCTGAAGTGGATCCAGCACTAGGCTGGAAATCAGGAAAACTTGTCTTTGTGAGTTCAAATCAGGCCTCAGACCCTTCCTAGCTGTGTGGCCCTGGGCAAGTCACTTCACCCTGCTTGCCTCAGTTTCCTCATCTGTCAAATGAGCTGGAGAAGGACATGGCAAACCCCTCCAGCATCTCTGCCAAGAAAACCCCAAATGGGGTCACGAAGAGTTGGACATGACTGAAAAATGACTGAACAACGACAGCTGACCTATGTATGTGTTGTATCTCCCGGGGAAAGGTCAGCTCCTTGATGGATCGTCTCATTTGTATCTCTAGGACAGGCCCGTGTGCGCAGTAAATATCTGGATGCAGACGTGGGGGGCTGGCACGTCACAAAGGTCTGGCATTGCATTGTAAGTCGGGCCCACTTCCTCTTAGCCCCAGCCCAGGTGTGCCCCAGAGGGGAAAGGAGGATACCTGATCAGCCTGGATCCGACGGCGAGGGCGGTAGATCAGAAAGCTGCTGAGGAGCTGCAGCTCTTGGGGGGAGGCGTCAGGCAGCACCTCATCCAGGGGCAGGGGCAGTTGCTCCTTGAAGGAGATCTTGTTGTAATCTGGGAGCTCAGTTATCTCCTGGGGGAGGATGAGAGGGGTAGAGGAATATTATTCTATTATTATTATTATTGTTATGGAGCACAACGTGTGAGAATTCCTCTCCCTCTCTCCTGCTACGCACCGGCCACACCAGGGGGCTGGGTGTCCCAAGGACCTGGAGCACACAGCAGAGCTGTTCGATGTCATTCTCACCAGCAAAGAGAGGGGAGCCATTCAGGAGCTCCCCGAGGATGCAGCCCACAGACCTGTGGACACAAGCGGACACAGTTTGGGCAGCCAGTCACCCCGAGCAGGGAGCCTGCCAGCCGGGGCCCTCTTGCTCTTGTCCCGTCCTCCAGGGCCTTACCACAGGTCCACACCCTCATCATACTGCCTGGCACCATAGAGAAGCTCTGGAGCCCGATACCACCTGCAGCAAAGTAAGGAAACGTGATTAGCAGCTGCTCTGATGAGGCTGGAGAGGCATGCCAACGAATACCTCCTACTGCAAAGCTTGAAACTGATGCCTATCCCCCTTGCCTACCCTACAACCCCCACCCCCACCCCCACCCCCCCGCCACTGCCAAACTCAGGAGTGTACCTAGTGGCCACCTGGTGGCTATACAGTCGGTCACCCTCAGGGGAGAAGACTCGAGCTAGGCCAAAGTCTCCAATCTTCAGCTGGCCTGAGGAGCTAATGAGCAGGTTGCCTGGCTTCAGGTCCTGGGGAAGGAAGGAGGGAAGGAAGGAAGGGAGGGAGGAAGGAAGAAAGGAAGGAAGACGTTTAAGGCCCAACATCTAGCGCCCTTGCCAAGGCTCGACTGAGCCCCCCCACTCCCTGCCCCCCCCCAGCCCCATCCCAGCTCCCCCTCCCCCAAAAGGCTCGGGCACTGGGCCTCTGGGTATCCATACCCGGTGGACAATGTTGTTCGCGTGGCAGAAGGCTACACCCTTGAGCAGCATTTGCATGTACGCTTTAACCTGAGCTGGGGCCAGAGGCCGCTTCCCATGCTGGATGATCTCAGACAGGTCAGAGAGCATGAACTCAAAAGCCAGGATGAAGCCTACTCCATGCGGGAACACAGCCTTCAACTTCACCACCTGTGGGTGCCAGGACACCTGATAAGGGTACTTAGAGAATTTTATAGAAGGTAGGAAATCAAGGCACGAGGGATCACTACATTCTAAGTCCTCCTGCCACCAAAGTTCTTTCATTCTGTAGGGGAAACTGAGGCCTGAAAGTGTTGCTGGATCATCTGTTCAAACCTGAGCCCAAACTCATTTCCTAGGATGGGGAAAAGGTGAGGCTTGAGAGGGCTTTGAGACTGTCCCACCTGGGCCCCCATTTCACAAGATGAGAGAAGCCAAGGCATAAAAGTACGACATGCTTCACGGGATGCTTAGAGACTGACTACCCAACCTACACCTAACCCCTTCACAGGATAAGGGAAACCAAGGCAAGGCCTCTTTGCTGTGGATAGAAGGTTGGGTCTCAAATCTAGCCGCAGGCATTTGTTGGCTGTGTGACCCTGGGCAAGTCACTTCACTGCCTCAGTTTCCTCAGCTGTAAAATGGGGCTCATCACAGCACCAACGTCTGAAGGTGGTTGTGAGGATCACATGAGAAAATAATTGTGAAGGACTTACATGGCACAGTGCCTGGAACTGAGGAGATACCCAGTAATTGCTTGTTCTCTTAACCCTTTCCACCTCCTCCAACACCAATGTGTGTAGAGTGACTCGATTTATAGACTTGGAGAAACTGAAGCAAAGCAAAAGGTGTTTGGAAATGGTCAGTCAGTCAACAAGCGTTTTTGGTTTTTTTTTTTAGGCAATTGGGGTTGAGTGACTTGCCCAGGGTCACACAGCTAGTAAGTGTCAAGTGTTTGGTGTGAGGCCGCATTTGAACTCAGGTCCTCATGACCTCAGGGCCGGTGCCCCATCCACTGCGCCACCTAGCTGCCCCAACAAGTGTTTATTAAGTGTCTACTGTGTGCCAGGCACTGGGGATACAAAGAGAGACAAGACCCAAGTCCCTGCCTTTGAGAAGCTCTCAGTCTAATGGGAGAGGCAACAAGCAAGGAGGCCACTCAGAAGACGGAAGGAAAAGGAGGCAGCTAAAGAAAGGCCTTCCGCTCTTAGCTGGGTTTGAGCAGGCAGGGCAACAGCCACGGAATGGGCAAAATGCCTAACAGAAGGCTATGCTCGCTCCAACAGGTGCTGGCTTCCAGGAAGGTAGAAAGGCCAGGAGGATGGTAGAGGCCCAGAGATGAGGAGTTCAGTTTGGGCTGTGAGCTGAGGAGAGAGGTCAGGGCTGGCTACATACATCTGAGAATCATTTGCCAAGAGATGGTCATTGAAGCCAAGAGAACTGATGAGCTCATCCAGTGAGATGGGCCCAGGACAGAGCTTCCGGCATCACCCATGGTTAGGTGGCTCAGTGGATAGAGCCCTGGGCCAGCAGTCAAAAAGACTTGAGTTCAAATCCAGCCTCAGACATGTGTGACCTCAGGCAAGTCACTGCACTGCTGCCTGCCTCAGTTTCCCCAACTGTACAACGAGGATAAGAACAGCACTTCCCTCCCAGGGTCGTTGTGAGGATCAAGTGAGATCATATTTGTAAAGTGCTTAGTCCAGTGCCTGGCACACAGTAGGTGCTACAGAAATACTACCTATGATGACGGTGATGATGATGACAACAGATACAGCGAAGGAGCCTGAGGAGCAGAGAGGCAGGAGGAGAATGGGGGGAGACAGGAGAGGAGAGAAGAGAATGGAGTCTCCAAGGCTCCAGAGAGATCAGGGCAAAGACCAGGCCACTGGGCAAAGGCCATTGCATCGGGCAACTTTGGAGAGATGGGGACAGAAGTCAGAGTGGAGATACCGAGCACAGGCAGCCTTCCCAAGATGGCCAGGGGGCATTCGGTCCGCATCCTCTTTCCCCACTTCTCTGGCTCATTTTATGGAATGGGGAAAACAGGCAAAAATATGCTTAGGCATCATCGCTTTCCAACCAGCTCCAGTTCCAGAATGAGGGCACAGGCTCAAAGGTGCTTAAGAATTCATCGGACCCAACCTCTCCTGACCATTTGGAACCCACAAGGAACCCCAAGAGCTAACACGGCTCCGAGATCATCCTTGGGGCTGGGGGAGCTTCTCCGAGATCATCTAAACGTCTTCTCTGGAGCTCCCTGATCACAAGAGCCCCGGTTTAGCATTGGAAGGAATCGGATGAGCAAACAGAGGGCCGGACGGGGAAGTAGAGGGAATGACTTACATACTGGTTGTCCTCCATCTCCTGCAGAGCTTTGATCTCCCGCAGGGCCTCGTTGGGGAGTCCACCCGTCAGCCGCCGCAAGACAATCTTCTTTAGAGCCACTGTCTCCCCCGTCTAGGAAAGAAAGACACACCCAGACACAGAGGGAGACTGAGGCAGGCAGTCAAGGGGAAGGGCGTGTATGCAGCAGACAGGCAGAACCAGAGGAAAGTACAAAGACCGATGGAGAGAGACGAAAAGGCTGAGAAACCGGTTTGTCGTTCAGTCGTGCCCAATTCTTCGTGACCCCGTTTGGGGTTTTCTGGGCAGAGATGCTGGAGGGGTTTGCCATGTCCTTCTCCAGCTCATTTGACAGATGAGGAAACTGAGGCAAGCAGGGTGAAGTGACTTGCCCAGGGTCACACAGCTCGGAAGTGTCTGAGGCCAGATTGGAACTCAGAAAGATTTCTGACTCCAGGTTCTGGCCGGCACCGGATGCACCACGCCACTAACCCAAGAAACCAGATCTTCCATTTTCAATAAGTATTTACTAAGGTCTACATGTGTACCTGGTGCCATGCTGAGCCCTAGTGAAACATGGACAAAACCAAATTCATCCCTGGCCTCTCTGAGTTTACATTCTACAGAGAGAAAACAAACCAAGTACCCAGATGATTCATGGCTAGCAAGTATATAGAAAGCAAGTATGAGGTCACTTCAAGGGTAAAGACAGAGGCATTGATCTCTGAAGGGCTCGGAAAGGCCCCAGGGAGGAAGAAGGGAGAGCCAGAGCTTCTCAGAAGGCAGAGTTATTCTGCCCATGGAGGAGGCTGGGCTGGAGCTCAGAGACAAACAGAAAGCCTGGGAGGAGCGGGGGAAAAGGTTGCTGTGAAAGGCTTTGAATGCCAGAGCATTTGGAATTTGATCTTGGGGGTAACAGGAAGCCACTGGAGTCGACTGAGCAGGAGGGGGACATGGTTGGATCTGCTCTTTAGGAAAAGCCCTTTGGTGGCTGAATGGAGAGTGGACGGAGACAAGGCGGGGCAGGCAGAGCACCCGCCTCCCCCCCCCCTCCACCCACCAGCAGCACCAACAGCAGCAGCAGGCCATCAGCCCAGGTAGGGGCAGTGGCAGAGGAGAGATGGTGTGGAGGTAGAAATGACAAGACCGGACCAGTGACTAAGGGTTCGAAGGCCAGAAATAAAGATGCTCAGAAGAACGGAGGGCAGGGAGAGCTGGGAGGATCACGATAGGCTGTTTTCTGCCTTCGAAGCTGAAGAGGCCCAGAGGGCATCCAGCGGGCCAGCAGGCAGTTAGAGGGATACCAATGGCAACCGGAGATGGCAGTGAATCAGCCGCATGGGGATGATGGCTGGATCCAGGAAATCACCAACCGGGAGAAGAGGAAAGGAGAGGGCCCAGGGAACCCATGAAGGGAGACAAAGGGCCAAAGGGAGAATGGAGAAACAAAGGCAAACGTGGGGAAAGAAGAGAAAGCGAGAGAGAGAAGCAAGGGAAGAAAGGGAAGACGTGTGAAGGAGACAGGGAACGAAAAGAGGGCAGGAGGGATGGAAAGGAGAGAAGAAGGGTGAGCCATTGGGGGGAGAGCCAGACACAGAGAGAAAAAGAAGTGAAAGGAGAAGGGGAACACAAAGGAAGGAGGGAGAGAAAGGAATATGGGAGGAGAAAAATGGAAAAAGGAGGGAAACAGAGAGAGAGAGAAGAGGCAGACAAAGAGAAGGAAGGCCAGGGCTGGAGGAGCCTCGGGAGGATTTGTTTACAAGGGCCACAGCTTGCTTCCTGCACCAGCCTGGTCCCCACTTACCTGCACGTGCTTGGCCTTGAAGACGATGCCATGGGCCCCTTCACCTATGTGGCCCAGGATGTTGTACTGGTCCATGGTCCAGCTTGTGGAAGAAGGGAGCGAGCCCAGTGACTCCCCTGGGCTTCCCGAGTGGAGGGTGCTGTCTCTCTGGGACTTCCTTTAAGGCCCTCTCCCCAGTTGCAAGCTTGGAGCCTCCACTAGTCACATGGCTTTGCCATTCCTCTTTCGCCCTGCTCTCCTGGCTAACTCCGATTCCAAGCACCCTGCCTCTAAGGGACCTTCGGCCTCGCCTTGGTAAAGCACTTAGCTCCCTGTGCTTCCTAAAGGCTTCTTCCCACCCCCAGCCCTCGCTTCTCACGTTCGCCTTCTCACTTTGAGCTTGGGCAGCCTTTTCCAGGGAGTCCTCAGAGCCCCAAGCCCCCTCCTCCAGGATGCCCGACACATGGACAGACAAGCATACGCACCCCTTGGGGGTTCCCCTCAAAGACAAGCGCCTATGCCACCTCCTCCAGGAAGCCCTCTTGGCCTTGGCAAGCAGCATTCCACGTTCCGGGCTGGGGCCACCACGGGCCCTCTCCTCCCTCAGCTTGGGGGAGTGCTGGAGCCCCCAGCCCCAGGAGCCCACTCAAGGCTCAGCTCCTCCGGGAAGCCCGGCCAGGAGCGCCTGGGCCCTGGGAGGGAGATCCCCGTGGGCTGGGGGCTCCCTCTTCTCTGGGGATCGTGCGGGGCCTAGAGCGGCCTCTGCTCAGGATCACCGCCTCCAGGGGGCCCGCTACCGTGCGCGGGCCGGGGCCAGCACGAGGCTCCCGGACAGCCCTGGATGTGCACCCCAAAGTGAAGGAGGCCCTCCCACCTCCTCCCCCGCAGTTCTCCGCCTAGTCCCCGGCCCGGCCCCGGCCCGGCCTGTGCAACCTCCAGCCTCCTCCCAGCAGCCGCTGTCCTGCACGCAGCTTCCTTAGCAACGTCTCAGCACAAGCGCACGCGCGCCTTTCTGGGAGGTGAGCCCGGGGAGCTCGGTCAGGTGACACGGCCCGGGGGAGGGGTGCGGGGCCTGGAGAGGGGCGGGCCCAAGTGCCCCCGTCACGTGGTCCGTGAGGCCCCGCCCCGTCGGAGCACGTTGGGCTCCGGCACTTTTTGTGCCAGGGCCCTGGAGGGTGGGTACGTCCTCTTCGATACTCGCCCTCCTCTTCCGGTGCTGGCCCTGGAGTCAGTGAGGAAACGAGTTCCAATTCCACCTTATGCGCATGACTAGCTGGGCTAGACTGCCTCAGTTTCCTCCTAGACAAAATGAGGCTCGGAATAGCATGTCCCAGCACGGGGCTGGAGCGTGTGGCATTTCCTTTCTTCCGCGAACAGTTTTTCCCTTAAAAATGCCAATGATTTGTGGTCATCTCTGGAAACCACCCAGTCATCTGGCTTTCTCTAGACATAGGCTAAGTGGGAAGAGGTCTGCGCATGAATGACCAGGCCACCCGGTCTCTGGCCCTCCCTGCTCTGCGGATTCCTCCCTGGCTTCCTGGGAATGACGTTTCCCTTGGGTCAGTGAGGTTTCTATTCTATTCATGGGGTACTGGACGTTAGTTCCCAGGGACTGCATTAGAAATGAATTATTTGAGTTGGGGAACCACCAACTCAAATGCGGGGGGGGGGGGGGTGTTGTTGCACATTGACTTAGAAAACCAGATATTAACATTATCTATGTTCTTGTTCTATTGTATTCTTAGTTATTTTTGTGAAAAATTTCCCAATTACATTTTAATTGGATTCTGGCTGAACTTTCTGCCACTTCTGCTCCATTGAATAACCCTTAGCAGAAGTCAACGATCCCGACTTTTTGTTGGCCAAGCCTTATCAAAGGGAGATGACGAATTCCCAGCCCTGGTCCCTATTGGATCTCAGAAAGATTGGAGGGCTGTACCTCCAGGGGCCAATGTCTCTTCAGGAGGCCCATGGAACAGGTGCCAGGAACAATTTGTTCCTTTCCACCACGTGAAAAAGGGGATTGTGTTGATTCCACAAGAATCTGCCAAATCCTTTCATCTCTACGCATATGGATGACAAGGGTACAAATTGCCCAAAATGAGGAGTTGAAGATAACATCTAAGTTGCAAGCCTGGGTTCCTGAAAGGATGGTGGTGTCTTCCACAGCAATAGGGAACTTAGGATGAAGGGAGGGCTTCAGGGGAAAGAGAATAAACTCCATTTGGGACATGTTGAGTTGAAAGATGTCTCGGGAACATCCTGTTTGAAACAATCTGAAGTGTGAGACTGGAGATCAGGAGAGAGGTTAGGGCTGGAGAGAGATAATAACTGAATCCACAGAGCTGATGAGGGAGAAGATGGGCCCAGAACAGAGCCTTGGCAACACTCACGAACTTGACATGGCTGAAGTTCCAACTAAAGATATGAGGAGTGGTCAGATAGAGGGAGAACCAGGAGATGGCAGTGTCCAGGAGGAGAAGGAGATGGACAGTGTCAAAGACGCTGATCAAGATCAAGATCGAGATCAAGAAAGACGAAGACTGAGAAAAGGTCATGAGCAATCTGATGGTGAAGAAATCTTTGAGAACTTGGGAGAGCCTGGTCTCAGCTGAATAAATGAGGTTGGAAGCCAGAGTACATAGTTTCGAAGAGAGTGAGATGAGAAGGGGAGGCGCCTTCTCAAGAAGTTTGGCCACAAAAGGGAGGACAGATCAAAGGTGCTACCAAGTGGAGATGCACGGATCAAGTGCAAGTTTTTTGAGGCTGTGTCTTCAGACATCAGAGAAGGAGCCAATAGACAGGGAGAGGCTGAAGATTAGTAAGAGAGTGGGGGGGATGCTACTGGGAACGAGGGATGGAAGGAGATTACTTGTTGCCTTTGTAAGGAGAAGGACCACTTCTTCAAGTGAGACAGGGGTTACTGCTTAAATGCCTCCTATGTGTCATGTGGATGAGAAACATAGTAGAAAAGATGTATTTCCAGCTACTGCATCTTTAAGGCCCAAGTACTTCTTATCTGTGATGTCCTGTCAACCAATGTAAGTGCCAGCCCCGACCAGGAGCAGACATGAAAGGAACTGGACAAAGGCCCTGATATCGTGCGCAAGGCCCGCAAAAATAAATTTCAAATTAAAAATCATTTGGAGTCACAAGGCTTTTCTTCTCTAACAAAACCGGGGAGTCTCTTCTGGGCAGAACAAAAAATAGTTAAGGAGGTCGGAGCTAAGATGGTGGAGTGATAGGAAAGAGTGTGGTGGGCTCCCATCCACAGACTTTTCCAGACAGATGTAGAAAATGCACCAGACTGAAAATGTCACATTGAGTCCTTTCTTTAGCCCACCTCAGCACAGAAAGACAGAAATAGATGTCTGCAGACTGAGGACAGGCTAGGGCACTCCAGTTCCCAGGGAGAGGCCACCAGGCCAGGAGGAGGTCCCAGACCTAGACTAGGGCACTGGGAAGGGGCCAGGTGCCAAGCAGCACCTGGGTCACAGGTCTGGGTCAGACTGAGAAGGGGACTTATGCACAGGTCAGGGAGGCCCCTGGCTGTTCAATGGAAAAGAAGAAGTTCAGAAGTCAGAATTAGTGGTGCTGGGGCTCAGAGCAAGCTCTCACTTCCAGCATCCAGCCCAGCCTACAGAGGAGTAGCCAGGCTGGGAACCCCAGACCAAAGGGGAGCTTACAATCTACCGCTCTGAACCAGCGGAGCTTGCCAGCTGGCCGATAGGGGCCGAGGCCTGCAGCATCTACTGTTCCTCAGACTCAAACCCAGGTCAGGAAATTGAAGAGCTCAGAGCAGGGGGCAGCGATCAGCTTTTGCCCTGGATCAGACCCTTCTGGGGGCACAGAAAGCCTGCAGGTCCCCGGCCTGAGCTGTCCCTGAGATCCTGGAACAACACAGCACTCAATACCCCAAGAAAGCAGCAGCAGAAAGAGCCCGGACGTTCCCTCCACGAGTGTGACAGAGCCCAACCCTGACATCAAGTCCGAAGTCAGGAAGCAGGCTGGAAGGATGGGCAAACACACAAAGAAGCCCACCACGAGCTATTATGGTGGCAGGGACACTCTAGACACAAATGCAGAACAGAATGACTCTAAAACATCTTCAAGAAAGCCTCAGAAAAAAACACAGCTTGGGCACAAACTCAACTGGAATTCTGGAAGAGATGAAGCAAGAGTATTTTAAAAAGAGTTAAAAATGTTTCTGTAAATGAAATGAGAGTGCTTGAGGAAAAAATTGGAAAAGAATTTAGAAGAATTCCCTGGAAAGGGAATTGACCTAAGCAACAAGCTCCCTGAAAATTAGAGCCAATGACCCCATGAAGCAACCAGAATTATGAAAACAAAGACAAAAGGCTGGAAAAAGAGAAGAAAATGTCAAGTATCTCATAGCAAAAACAAGTGAACTGCCAAACTGATTGAGGAGAAAAAATGTAAGAATCACTGGAGTATGTGAATGCCAAGACCCCAAAAAGAGTGTAAGCATCCTATTTCAAGAAATCATAAAAGAAAACTGCCAAAATCTTTTAGAACCAGGGGCAAAGTGGAAATAGAAAAGAATCCACCAGTAACCTCCTGAAAGAAACCCCCAAATGAAAACTGCCAAGAACATCAAAGCCAAAATCCAGACCTTCCAGGTCAAAGAAAAAAATACCATAAGCAGCCAGAAAGAAACAATTCATGTACTGAGGAGGAGCAGTCAGGATCACACAGCCAAGAATAACTTTCCCAGCAAAACTGAGTATAATGCTACTGGGGGAAAGTGGACTTTTAGTGAAATAGAGGACTTCCAAGCATTCCTGATGAGAAGACCAGAGCTGTGGAGAAATTCTGAGGTTCAAACACAGACGTGAAGAGAAGCATGAAAAGGTCAACGTGAACGAACGGTGAGAAAGGCCCAAACAAGGACAAACTGCTTCCATCCATTTATGGAGAGAGCATACATGTGCCCCCACCCCCTCCACCCCACGTCCTGCCATCATCATGGCTTAGAGAGGGAGTCCAGTTAGACATGGCCTGGGAATCTTGAACAAGTTATATGGTTTATTAATGTGATCGAATACTATTGTGCTATAAGAAATGATGAAGGGGGTATTTTAGAAAAAACCCGGAAAGACGTGTGTGAACTGATACATAGTGAGGTGAGCAGAGTCAGGACAACCATTTACGGGAAGCCAACGATATTGTAAAGATAATCAACTTTAAAAGTCTTGACTACTCTGCTCAATTCCAAAGGACTCACGATGAAACATACTACCCACCTCCAGACAGAGAGCTGACGGACTCAGAGGGCAGCTGATGTTTGTTTCGTTTTGTTTTGTTTTTTCCCTAACATGGCCAATGTGGACATTTGTTTTGTATGACTTCATATTTGTAAATGGTTTTCTATTTCTTGCCTTCTCAGTGGGTGGGGGAGGGGTGATGAGAAGGAAAGACTCTGGAATTGAAAATAAAATTGAATGTTTCTATCTTGATCTCAAGAAAACAATGAAAGAGAGGAAGACAAATACACTTGAGGGGAGGAGTGAAGGTGAGGAAAAAATACTCCCCATAATCAGAGTGCACAAGTACACATCTAGACAAACATGGATGAGAGGGTGGAGGGAAGCAGCTGACACTTGATTCTCACTCTCATCTGAAATGGTGGAAAGAAGGAAAAGTACACACACACATACATACACATACAGGTGAATACAGAAATACATCTCACTCAACAGGGAAATGGGGGGAACAGAGGAGAATAGGAATTAGAAGGAAGGTAGATTAAAGGAAGGATTAATTCTAAGGATGCACAAAAACATTTCTAGCTCTTTTTGAGGTGGCAAAGAACACCAGTCTTTGAGGGTGTCCATAAATTGGGAATAGATGAACAAACTAAGGTTGGTTGTTGTCCTGAGTACTTGAAGAGGACCAAAATGACATCACTATGTCAGGGTCAAGTACAGTGCA